CAAGTCCTTGGCCTTGGCCTTGGCCTCGGGTTGCCGGTCCTTGGACACAACACTGATTGTTTGGAACTGTGCCTCCTGTGGGTTAATTTTGCGTCTCGGACACGGGACGCAGAGGTAACGAGATGGCTGATCTCTAAACATTCTCTGAGTACTACTATTATTACCACTCCCACTAATACTACATTAATTAATTTAATACCTTCAACTTCACAATAATAATAAAAAATAATTAAATCAACAATGATTTTAAACTATATATTATCAATATTCATTATTCCAAACATGAGAAAGCATTCACCAAAAGCATAACTGGAATCGAGCAAAAGGACTCCAAATCCCAACGGCCAAACCCGGAAGTAAAGTGCCGGCATTATTGACTCCAGCTGTAACGTAAATTACTCGGTTCAAACAAACATTATAGTGCCACCGCAGAAACGTGGCGACTGTGCAAAAATAATTACATAAAAGACACCACTGTTACAGAAAGACTTTACACGCTATTTAAACTGCCGATCGCGAATGGAACAAACCGTGATTGAAACTCACTGTGATGCCGCTCTTTATTCGTTGCGCTAACTGTCACCTGTCAGTGGCAGACCCGCCCCTTTTAAAGCGCCAGCTTAACCATCAATATGCCTTTCCCTGGATGGAATTTATTTGATTCCTTCGTGGTTTTTGCGATCCTCGGTCCCACTTTATACCTGTGACCAAGGGATTTGAGGCTCTAATCCCTCATTGTGTCCGAGGACCGGCAACCCGAGGCCAAGGCCAAGGCCAAGGACTTGACTCCCAAGTCCAAGGAATTGACTCCCAAGGCCAAGGACCAAGGACCAAGGACCGCAAAATCCAAAATCCAACCGATGGGAGCAGCTTTATTGGAAGTGAAGAAGCTGCCGGTCATTCTCGATGGTCTAGCGCGAATGTCCAACACTCAGACTCAAGCGGTGACTGAGCTCAACCGCATTTGCGGTTCTGGAGCGTCTCCGTACGATCGGCAACAGCATGGAGAAGTTGGAATTCTCGCTTCGAAAAGGAATTGAGGATTTGGCTGATCGGCGCCAGTGAAGGGATACAGCCACGGACTCAAGGCCACCTGAAATTGTTGGCGGCCGTCCCTCCAAAACAAACAACGCTATTTGGACCCCATTCCCCTGTATGGAAGGTATGCACGGAAGCTAGTGCCCCCACCATCACCCCCTCCTTCTCGGCCATGGACTGATAAGCCAGGACTGTCTTCATGAGCAGACCTTGACGAAGCAGCTGCGGCCTGTTCACGCATACATAACCAGACAATCACACACGCATACACGTCCTTATCATCACCGTCTTCATCGTTCCTCCTGTTTTTCCCCCGTGACGTGAACCTGATCTGCGTAGCGCTCGGCAATTGGCTGAGCAGCTGGTCGGACAGGCAGCGTGGCGCCCCCCCACCCCCGTTTCCACCCATCCCCTCATTACATGTTATGTCTTGTGACTTGTAACTGTCATATGCTTGTTTCTGTGCTTAGGTTGTTTTTTTTTCTCCTAGACCCAAATTATCCTCAGAAAGAGGATAGTTTGAGCATGTTTTTTTTAAACCTCTCCCTCCCTCATGGTTTCCTTTCCTGTACTAAGATCTCGGGGCGCTTTACATAGCGAGTACCGACAGGCCCTTTGTACTGTATCCCATGTTTGTCATTGTTTTTTTCATGTTTCTTGTGCAGAGCGTGCCTGTTAAGATAATTTCGTTGCACGAATGTGTAATGACAATTAAGCAATACAATCTTAATGGGGACCGGGCCCTTGCTGCAATAAGTGAAAACCCACGATGGAGGGTTTGCTCGGTGTTCGGTTGATTGTTTTTAGTTATCATACATTTGCATATTATTAAAAATGAATCGAATATGCTTGCAATGAAGAATGCTGATGCCTGCAATAATAAATTGATTATGCCTGCAATGAAGAGCACATGCTTTTAAGAAAGACATAATTATGCTTTTAATAAAGATATGTTCACATTTACAAAAAAGAATTCTAAATTCACTATGTGATAGTTGAGGGACGCAACCACCTTTCCGACAAAGTGGTTGGAAAGAGACAAGTATTTCGACAAAACAAGAGCAAGGTCGGACGTGGATGGAGGTGCCAACGCCAGCTCCAACTAAGTGTTTTTGTCATGATTGCACACATGTACGAAATTTTCACTCACATACACACCCATAGTCTATAATAAATTTAGTGTGTCTTCAGCAGCCTTCACTCTTTAGGTTGGATACACCCCTGTATTAGATTCCCATTGAGAAATAAATTAGAGGGCGAACGGGGAGATCATTGGGATGACGTTCAGAGAACTGAAACCTCACGCTTCTCCTCCTTTCCCCCTTCAAGTGATTGGTACCAGAATCCAGTTTGTCCTCTCCTGATTGGGTCTTTATTATGAATGTTGAATTCAGAGTTTTTTAAACCCTGTGCTGGAGCAATTGTCAGGTGTGCCGTGGGAAATTATCCAATATGTATGCGGTCGATCGCCTGAAAGAGTAACCATGTCATACTCTTCATGGTAGGAAGCAGCAGCAGCTAGGAAATTGCCTTACGCTTCGAGACAAGCGAAATTTCCGATGCGAGGCAATACAATGAAAGGTATCTTTCATTTAGATTTATGTTTACCAGAGATGCAACAGCACCAATCTTTCCTCTAAGCGTACTGGTCGTACTCTCTCGCTCTCTCAATTTCTCTCTCAATTTCTCTCTCTCTCTCTCTCTCTCTCTCTCTCTCTCTCTCTCTCTCTCTCTCTCTCTCTCTCTCTCTCTCTCTCTCTCTCTCTCTCTCTCTCTCTCTCTCTCTCTCTCTCTCTCTCTCTCTCTCTCTCTCTCTCTCTCTCTCTCTCTCTCTCTCTCTCTCTCTCACCCCTCTTTCTCGCGCTCTCTCACTCTTTCTCTCTCTGCCCGCTGCACACGAAGCAAATAAAAGAGACAGTATGCCAGAGAATAAATAGCATGATGTGACACACACAAGACTTCCCAAGCGTCTCGTCACGCTGGGGGTCTGCAAAAATACGCAGCGAATCAGCTCACAGGATGAATCCACTCGCGCTGTCATTGGTCGACATTGCACCGGAAACCAATCATGCGCCTTGAGGCAGTGCCCGTTGATACAGTACTTTGGAAAAAAATTTAAAATGTGACGTACGGAAGCCGCGATAAATGAAGCGCGAAATAGCGAGGGATCATTGTATAGTAATTTCTTTTTTTTTCGCGGTCCAGAAACACCCCACGTAAGGTGTAAATCACGCAGTAGAATTTTCGCTCCGGACTTATCCACCACTCAAAAATGCGCAGTGTCGCGCTCTGTGCAAGTCTTTTTCACAAATACCCAATGATAAAAAAAAATAATAATAAAAATGAATAAACCAGCATCATGGATAAAAATAATAAAAGAAAGAAAAATTCACCACTAATATGTGATGCTGGTCATGTCACATTTTTGAGTTGTAATCTGAACGAATCTTGCTCTCTGAGTAACCTTCATTGTAATTATAAATCAAATTCAATGGGTGTTTTTGTCTTGTGTCTTGCAGATATCAGCAAAGATGCTTGTCCTGAGTGGCTGGATGCAGAGCCCTTTCACATTAAAGAGGAAGAGGTGAAGAAAGAGGAAGAACAGCAGGTCCTATCCATTAAAAGAGAGGAGGAGCCAAATTACCCTTGCACGAAAGATGGTGATAACACAACATCAAATGTTCGTGATGATGAGGATGAAGAGTCTGATGGTGATCTGACATGTCACACTGACAACAAACCCTGGAAATGTTCTCAGTGTGGGAAGATGTTGACTCATCAGAATGCTTTGAAAAGACATGTGAGAATCCACACTGGTGAGAAGCCTTTTTAAAATTGCTTTTCACTTGAAAGAATAGTGGCGATCTTGGGATTTTTTTCTGTTCAATTTTCAAATAGTGTGTAAATTCAATACACTTTATCTTCAAGCATGTTTAGTGCCACTTTTATAAGTAACCACGCCCCCGACCAGGCCACGCCCCTTCCGCTTTTTTCATCACTCGCCATTGCCATCCATGCTGAATTGTTCGACATTTTTTTCTGAATTCAGTACTTTGGAAAACAATTTAAAATGTGATGCACGGAAGCCACGATAAATGAAGCGCAAAATAGCGAGGTATCAATGTATAGTAATCGCTTTTTTTCGCGGTTCAGAAACACCCCACGAAAGGTGAAATTCACGCAGTAGAATTTGCGCTCTGGACTTATCCACCACTCAAAAATGTGCAATGTCACGCTCTGTGCAAGTCTTTTTCACAAATACCCATGGATAAAAAAAAAATAAAAAAAAATCAACCACCACCATGGATAAAAATAACAGCAGGTCTGATACATTAAAAGAGAGGAGGAGCCAGATTACCCTTACACGAAAGATGGTGAGAACACATCATCAGATGATGAGGATGAAGAGTCTGATGGTGATCTGACATGTCACACTGACAACAAACCCTGGAAATGTTGTCAGTGTGGGAAGATGTTTACTTGTCAGAGTGCTTTGAAAAGACGTGAGAATCCACACTGGTGAGAAGCCTTTTGCCTGCTTAGTTTGTGGCCAAAGATTCTCTTGTAAAGAAAATTTTCATGATCACAAAAGAACCCACAATAGTGAGAAACCTTTTGTGTGCTTAGTTTGTGGCCAAAGATTCTCTGAGAAGGGAACCTTAAAAACACAGACCAGAACACACACTGTTGAGAAACCTTTAGCCTGTTCAGATTGTGGCCAAAGATTCTCCCAGAATGGACACTTAAATAAAATCACACAAGAACCCACACTGGTGAGAAACCTTTTTCCTGCTCAGTTTGTGGCCAAAAATTCTCTAAAAATAGAACCTTAAAAATACACACCAGAACGCACACTGGTGAGAAACCTTTTGCCTGTTCAGATTGTGGCCAAAGATTCTCTCAGAAGCGAAACTTAAAAAATCATACAAGAACCCACACTGGTGAGAAACCTTTTTCCTGCTCAGTTTGTGGCC